GCAAGCGAATGCGTGTACAAGTCATGTCCAATCGGACCAATCAGATATTGGGCTCAAGTAAGGGGCGACTTCATTGGCTTCGTGACTCATGCAGCTGGCACATTAGAGTCCGGCGCCTGGCTGCAGCTACGTGGCGTCATCACGTGCATTCTGTGTGAGCGAGCCGGTCGTTTGCCGTGGGAACGACTCGTCAGGGCGGCGTGCACTCGCAATTAAGCTGGGACCTGACACCAATTAATATTGAAGGAGTTCGCAACAGACCTGACTGGGCGAAACCATCGTTGGGTTTAGTAAAAAGGTCAAGTGGCACGACAGGCAAAGGCGTTCGCTGAACGGAGTAATGGAAGTCGCCAGTTCGAAGTGCGGAAAAAATCGAGTATCTAAGCCCTTTAGGTAACACATTCGCCACCTTTCCACAGTCTTTAATTTACTCCTCGAACACGGTCTAATTTATGGTCTACGAACGTGGGGTTCAAGGGTATAGTAATTCGCTATGGAAGAAGACGGGCACAATTCCAAAGCTTTGGGCATAAAAGATGCAAGCTGTAGATAACCGCCTGAATGGAAGGTACGAAAAGGGAACAATAACGCAAAATTAAAAAAAAGTTGTCGAGTTAAACAAACCTCAGGAGAGGTTTCAATAAACAGTCCACTCTTTGTATATTGAACGGAACGTTGAAGAATAGGATCATTGTGGACAGCACTACCAGGAGACAGCATCCACTGAAGGGTAGACTCTGAGAACAAGGGATTTGGGCCTGTAGTTGGCAACAGGTAGGTCAACAGTTTCGCGAGGGTACGTGCATTGGTAAACAAATTTATCGAGGACAGCGGCACTTCAACGAAATCAGGGTGACAGTTAAGGCGGAGCTGAGGATAAAAAATGGGCCCTTTGAATAACGTCGATTGGAAAGACAAACTCCACAAAGAGGATTTACTTAGACTAGGTTCCACTGTCAGCCCGCAGTATATTTAATTATTAGAAGATAATGCTACTTGCTTTTTGGAAATATTGTTAGTGAATCGCTTTGGGAAAAATTATTTAGTTGGAGTCAAAAAATAGAGGACGGGTGCCATCGCCTACTAGCAAGAATAAATGTGTACAAATCAGAGACAAAGTAGCAGTTGTATAATTACACCTCTGACCAATGACTTCGTGGTTCCACCGGGCCCAAACAATAAGACGATGCTGGCAAATGTGACTACGTTTGCGGTCGCAACAAAGGCGGAGGATTGGCCTTCCTGATGGACAAATCCATTGCCCATTATCAGCTACGCCTGCTTGGTGCTGACCCCACGGAAGTATTACCCATTTCCTTCAACATTAGCCCGGCGCCGCTAACCGCCGTGAACGTCTACATCCCTCCAACTTTCGGTTGTCCTTCCGGCTTCACCACCACCATCGCTCCCTACTTACCTTCTGGAGACAGTTTGGTGCTAGGTGACTTCAAGACTCACCACGACTCGTGGTGCTCTAACTTGGCAGTCAATCCCCAAGAAGAAGTCCTGGCCAATGAATTAGAACACGCTCCCTTCGCAGTCCTCAAGGAGGAC